GAAACGAGAATTTTCAACAATAATGAAGTATATCGATTCGCTAGAGTACGAAAGCATCCCGGATTACGATCATATCTACTACTGTATACAACACGCTGCCAAGGTAAATCTTGTTAGTGTTGCATGAGGAACCCAACGAAGCATCATGAAGTAGAGGTGCTTCTTTTCTTTTTTATAGCTCGTCTCCAGTTTTGACTCTCTAAAAAAGCTTGGTACGCTCTTATTGCTAATGAATTATTAGGCGCATCATATAGCACCGGACGATCCGCTTGATTGGGATCCAGCACATAAGTACCATGGGCCAATGATAAATCTCAACGAACGTCGAAACAGGAAAGACGATAGGCACCTGGTCACCGCACGAACACAACGTTCCACTTGATTTTTCGCCTACCGGTTCACGATTAAAACTATCCATTATTGAACATTTATCACACGATAAACAATGCAATACATTGTCAGTTGTGACGAGAATCAACCGTGGAAATGAATCAGTTGGTTCTCTTGAGCTTCAAAATGGTCTGACCGAAGAAGCTCCCGGTTTCAAATCCATGATCCTCTATGTGGTGAGTGTTAACGAGTAAAAATTTTTGAAAACATTAAATTTAGCGAATACCAGTGATATAAGAAGGTAACTTCCGTGAATACCCCGATGAACCACTGAGTACCACAGAGAGATATGTGACTGGGACATATACAAAGCGGCTCGAACTATCAGTGCGGGCATACTTTGTAAGTGATGTTATTAGGATGCTCCAAAATGCCAAGCGCAGCTACGCCAGGCCTTTCGATCGACTTTGTCGCGTGGAGTAATTCTAATGTAAATCTGTAGGATGCGCGATATCATCTATTTGTTGCTGCTGACTATGCGCATAGTTCAGGATTAGCGGATATTTCATGAGGCTGTACCTTTCAACGGTTTTACTCATGCGCATTAAGAAGTTACGTACGTGACGCAAGACGACTTAGAATATCTGGGACTCTAACACGCCCAGGTTACGCTTTAGTGGCACCACAGCCTCCCCTACTCCAGCTTATGCGAAGTACATGATATTCTGAGAATCACAGAAGCTAAATTTTCAAATTTTTTCTTTTTCCAATCCTGCAACACTATGCTCACAATGCTTTTGGCAAGCTACCGGACTTTCAAAAATGAACAAAATTTTTCAAAACAATGATTTTGAACCTTTGAAATTAAACTTTCTCGAACCTTGCGCAGGCCCGCTCAAAAGTCACGTTAAGTAAGCTGCACCACATGTCGTGGCCCCTACGCAAGTATCTATCTTTTCTTCCACTGTTACTTATAGTTGTGGTTCATCCATAATTG